ATGCACTGCATAGCAGATACCAACTCAAGTATTTGAGTTTCAAGATAGCTGGAATACAAAAAGGCCTTTAAAAAATACAGCTTTCATCTTGATCAGTGGTCCACAGGAGAGGATGAAAAGTAGTTTCTTATAAAGGACCCAAAACTGTGGCTTGCTTCATTCATGTATTAAGTTTTCTTTATAAAAGGTTAAAGAACAAGCTTTCAATTAAAAAACTGCCCCTTTTCTCTCTCCCTCTCCCCCTGCAAGAAAAAAAAAAAGGGGGGGGGGGGCAGGAGAAGGAGGAGAAGAAAGTAAAAGCTGCAGTTTCCTTCCCAAACAGCCTAAATATTGCTGCACTGCTTTCTGGAGTCTACAGACACAGCTATTTAATGAGGGTAAGTGGCAAAAGGAACTTCAGAAGCCCCTACAGAGTAACCACTTTACTGCTGATCAATATAACAGCTTAAATAGGACAACATCAAGTGGAACAAGGATGAGTTTGTGAGGAAGAGGAAATAGTTCTAAAGAACATGAAGAGAAAAACGCAAGTGGAAAAAAGGAATGGTGAAAGAAATGTACAAAGTAAACCCAATTGTTTAAAAAGAAAGTTTATTTCCAAACTGACAGCAAATAAGAAAAGGAAGTGTTGAATAAATGTGCAACTATTAACAGAATGTGTAGCTGCTGTAAAAGGACCGCGTAATTCAAAGCTTCTGCCTATGTGCCATCCTGAATCTGCATGAGCTGCGTTTCTGCTGTATTTTGACGGGCCTACCAATAGTTGCATTGAAGAAAAGTTGATTCTCCTCAAGCATGAGTATGGTCACTCAGCTACCCTGCCCACCATGAACAAGGACTAACATTACCAGGCCTATCAACAGCCTAAAAAAACACTGCAGAGTCCGTTTCCATAGGGAGTACATTAGCAGAGGAGGTTGGCACAGAAAGAAGTGAGCAGGGAACAGAGGTGGTCATCTACTGCACTATACTCTTGGAGCCAAATTCAGCCCTAATTCTCTGAAGCTCATTAAATTGCACCTTTGAGCTTCTATAGATCATGCTAAATAAAAATCTGATCCCATGAATAGATGTCCACCTAATGTACACCTGATGTCCAGGCAGCACTTACCTAGCAATAGTGCAATGTCTATGAATTCAATTTATTTTCAGAATACATTTGCCATTTTTTTTAAACTACTTTCTTTTGAATGAAAAAGTGTATCAGTCCTGTGCACTCAAGATTTCTGCTACCAGAAATGCTTATCTGGGACAGCACACTCACTGGTAACCAACAGCTTTTAACTAGGAGTTTTCAAGCTCAAAGGGAAACAGTTCTCTCCTTCGTGGGTAGCAGGACAACCCAAACAATGATGAATGGGAAAGAAGTGAAACAATGGCCAATTTGTCTAGCTGTCAGAGGAAACTGCCACAGAAGGGAGTACAGTCCCTACTTGCCAGGATTTCCTCCACTTACAAGTTCGTCTGCAGCCCCCCAAAACCACTGTGATCAAATTGGAAGAGTTCTGCCAAAAACTGGATGAAACCCACTGTAGAGCAGCCAGCATAATCTTGAAACTGGTTCATTTTATGAGAAGGATAAACAAAGTGAAAAAGCCAAAGAAAAGGAAGGTCAGGTTGCTTCTATGAAAATTAGAAACTCTACAGCAGCTTGTACTTGATGCTGCCAGACCTTTTACTTTTTAGCCCATACTTCTCATGCAGATAAAGCATTTCTCAATGATGTTAATTGAACTGCCTGGGTGAATGCAAGAGCAAGAGATGGAGGTAGACAACAGAAAGGGGAATTTGACAGCCTATCAAAGAAGAAACTCTAGGCCCAAAATAAAGGAATTCAAATGAAATGATCTGAAAATACTCAGAAAGAAGTTATATTAAAAAAAAAAAAAAAGCAACACAGATTTTGCCAAGCAGTCAGGCACAGTTCCTCCATATTTGTCTATAACAATGAAAGCATACACTCTTCATCAGGCCTTAATGGCACTCTTTCTGCATGCATTTCTGCCTCTGGTTACAAAGAAAACAGCACAACAATCTGATCCTGTGAGTTGTATTCAGATCAGAAATTCTCTTGAAATGTGCAGAGTGCTGTACTACGCTCTTGTAGTTTGAAGAGAGAATGATTGCCATGGCTGACAACAACAGGTACAATGAGAATGCCCCTCTCCTGGGCCAAAGTGAAGTTAAAATCGTCGTGATAGAAGATTAAAAGCCTCAGAATGTCCCATGCACATAAACAAAAGTCACTACTGGTTCCCTGGCATCTCTAACCTTTGTCTTTTTCCCTCCAGGAAACATAGAAAATCATAAAAGTACTCTGCCTTTTCTCAAACTTACTGCAACTTATTTTAATAATCTCTTGTATGTATCATTTCATGTAAGATATCTTGCAAGCGTTTCTTACAGATGCAGACAAGCAGGCAAAAACTTACTAGGACCTTTTTTTTTTTTTCCCCATGCAATCATTTGTGCTCAAAAAGTATCAACGTTTTGTCATTCTTCTGAGTAAAATGCTTCAAATAATTGAAACAGAACAAAATGAATCCAGACAGAGTCTCTTAGTTCTTCAAAACCTGAGCTGGGTGGGAGCTCAGAGGGTCACGTTTCCATTAGAGAAAAACACACAGACTATGCAGGACAAAATGCTTCCTTGTTGATATAAGCTTGTATGCTTGTTGGGATAATGAAGTCTGCTTTGAATATAGCTCTTCAGTTGGAAAGGTCTGCTATCACTGTAACAGTGGGGTCAGGTGCCAGCCAATTACTGTTAAAGGTGATAGTCTAATTGCACTGTCAGATATTCCTTTGGCCACGTGAACTTTGCTGGCAAAGGAACATCAAAGGATCATCAAAACTACTGAAAACACCTAAGCTACATTTCAAATACACAACATGACAACAAAAAAAATGCTGATTTATACAACTTATTTTATGGAGCATAGTTTACTGTTTAAGGCACAGTAACCAAGACGGGCTTTTGGTCTCCTGTCATATAGATTCAGACTTCAGAAGGCTTTTATCCAATGGAGCAAAATTTACTTTTGGAAGACCCACTATTCAAATACATACTGATTTGCAAAAATAGGAGTACATTATTATCAACAGTGAGCTGAATTCATGCATTTGCATCTGTGCAGACAAGGCACGTGTTAATTCTGGTGTATTTTTGAGAAAGAAATGAGAAAGAGTGAAATAGTATATTTCTGAAGTCTCAAACAACTGTGAATAGCTGCATAGAATACAAGGTACCCTTCATTTCTGGTTTTCCTTTTTTCTAGAAATTTAGAGCTTGCCCCTTCAGAAATCATTTTCCTGCCTGCCCTACTCTTACTTTCACTTGTGCTATACATGAAAACTGCTGAAATCTGTGCTGCACGTCTTACTGCTACCCTTCAAAGACAAACTAAGTGACTGCGATGGACTCATCATAGGGCACTTATGCATTCTGGTTAAGCTGGAGCTGTGGTCACCCTAAGGTATGCAGCTGTTAAGTTGCTGGATTCAAACAGGTCTTCACATCTTTACTCTGCTGTCTTTTCCTAGTGGTTGAAACTGATTAAAGCTTCTCAGCTCTGCCTCCTGAGAAGCATGGAGCACACAGGGATTTTTCAGTATTCTACTACGACATGACAGTCAGGGAAGCCAGAACATCCCCACAGTTTAATGAAGGTTAGGAGCTAGAGTAAAGTTCAGGAAAAGCTGCCCTCCAAGCTCCTACATTTTGTTTATCTGGACTATTAGCTTTCTCCTTCTGTTGTATGCTAGGCAGACATCACATGTCCTTGTTCCTGCTATACTGTGCCTGAATATCTCTGGTATCAGTCAGCTGACTGGTCGCTGAGATTACTTATACTATCAGGGATTATGGCTTTCTACAACTTTGTTGTCAGGCTGCAGGATTTACTCTTCTAAAAACACAGTCTCGCAGCTTCAGCCCATTCATGTGTGCTTTGGCATTAAGCTCTTTAGGGTAAAAACTGTCCCATTGTTATGCACAATGCCTCTGGCACAAAAGGTCATCAGCCTGGAGCACCTCTAATAATTGCCTCTCTGTTTTTACTATCTGGAGAGGCACTGAACTACTGTAAAGAAAAGCAAATCCCCCAATGCTGACTACCAAGTCTAGAGATGGCTTGTTGTTTTTTTTCCTATAAGGAAGGAGTTAGGGCTGAAATTCAAGTCTGAAAGAAAACTGTGACTGAGAACGCTGGAAATGTGGGAGCCAGTTTCTAAGAGGAAGGGCTGTTCTACTTCATAGGATCCCTCTTTTACGATTCCTTCTCCCAGTGCGTTGCTCCCTTTGAAACAGAACATTCAAAAAGAGAAGTAAAATCTATAGCAAAAATAAGAGATTTCTACTGCCTAACACCCAGCCCTTCTGGGCATGTTCTTTGCTGCCTCCTCCTGGAATCCTTTTCACCAAGATCCCTTCCTCACCCACTTTGAACTTGTGTGATCTCCACTACAGAACCTTCCAGTGGTGATGTATGCTCACAAGAAGGTTCCCTTCCAAGTCCTGGGAAACCAGCAGAAAATCGCAGAGGACTCTTCATTCTGAAAACAAGTCTGTTACACATACATACTGCCAGTGAAAATGCATGTAATCATCTCTGCTTCTCTTTCAAGTCTAAGCAGTCTAAGTCAGTCTGCCTTGTTTATTCAGTATTTAAGTATGTTTTCCTTTATAGGGGTAGCTATGGGGGAAGCACAACCTTTGATTGCGGGAGTTTTGCAAGAACAACTGGTAAGATACAAGAAACATTACTTAAATATTTTGCAGCTTTTCCTTATCAAGCTTATCAAGCTTCCTTATCAATGTTTTTAATACCTAGCAGGAAACTAACTAGTATGAAGGAAGAAGCAATACTCACATCTGTACAGTGGTCAGAAAGTGTCCTGGGAAATGAGAGGCACTGTTATTTCTTCGTTAAGTCACTTCCAGCCAGTGTTTCCAAAAACTATTAGCAATGAAATTTAAGAAAAAAACTTGAACTTTCATGTCAAATGATACATCTTTAATTTCTAAAAGGTCGTAAAAACTAAGAAACTGATCTAGTTGACATGTAATTAACCTCTTTGCATAGTACAGTTTATCTCCATGGGACATCAAAATTACTTAAAATTTCAGGAAATCTGGCACCTAAGTAAGTAAACAGCCTCAATCCTACAGGAAGGTTGCAGACAACCTGAACGTTTTCAAGTTTTGTTTTGTAACAGTTCTGTTAAAGGTCTGTTTTGACCACCTTTATCCCACAGCACTGTGTTCTCTCACAGCATTTTGCAGTTGGCCATCTGTATGAAAAGCATAAAAAGCTGCAACCCGTATCGATGTAGTCAATCACATTATATTCAGCGTGGCCTTTTTGATGTCAAATACCTCCAAGCACATAGTTATTAACTTTTTTTTTTTAAATGCAAAACAAACCCCACAAGACATACAAAATGATTACTCGATTGACTTTTTACCCCCAAGATGTTTAATCTTTTCCTTGAGAAGGATAAAGGTGGGGCTTCAGTTTCAGAAGTGTTCTCGACATTCATCTAAAGCAAGCACTGAATCTTACAGGAAGCCAAGGAAGTTTAACTTGCTCAACAAGCTTACTAACAAGACAATTAAAGGCATTTTTCTGTATAAAAAGTTGTAAGTTACATCTTACAGTCCGTGTTAGATTTATCTACAATGAATTTTTTTCCTTTATAGAATGGTAGGTGGAGAGGAGCACTGTACTTACATAATCTTTAATTAATCCTTTTTTTCCCTACTAACTTGTGTCCTGATTTTCAAAATCACTGCTTATCAGCACATGGTAGGTAACAAACAGTAGTGCAGGCACTCAGAACTGCTGAAACAGACTGTTAATACATGTGTTTATGCCCCAAATGCACCGTTTGAACACATTCCTCTTGAAAACTCCTAGTTTACTTTTAATCAAAATCAGTTGACTGATTATGCTTTTAAACAATTTCTGTAGTGCTTCAGCATGCTGAAAATAACTCTTAGCACTGATTACTTCTTATACTTCAGTGGACCGCGGTCAAAATGAGTAAGTTAAAAATTGAGATTTATGATAAATAAACTTTGGAAAAGAAATTATACAAGGCCATAAATAAATATTTTCACTTGTCCCACCAAAAGTAAAACAGTATGTCACAGAACAATATCATCCTATCTAGATAATACAGTCTTGTTATCTTTTATTGCATAATAATTCCAGAGTAACATCTTAAGTAAAATATGTAAAGAAACGAAATCATTAGATTTACTTCTTTTAATATTGAACAACCAAAGTTTCTCCTTTGTACACAATCCAATTTAAAGATAATACAATTAGCACTTCCAGCATTAACAATCTGTATTTACAATGAATGAGATGGGGTGGGTAATCTAAAGAGTATTCAAATCTGTATGAAACGAATCAAAGTATGAAGGTTTACAGGAGGCTCAAAATCAACGTCTTTTCCATTTATGGAAAACAACTGAACAGGCTCTGTCTTCTTTATAACTTGCAAGGGCTCTTGAAATTGTGATTTTGTTATAGTCTTTACAACACTTCAAATATTCAGTAATGCCTTTGTTATTGTACATGACACTAAAAATTAACTCCAATACTTCTGTTTTGTTTTTAACTTGCTTGTAGACCAGTCTGAAATCTGATGAAAGGATAACAAGGAAATTTACTAGATAATCCTAATTCCATATTCCTGAATATACAACAGTTGGAAGTAGATGATGTCAGTCCATTCCCAGGGTTATGTACACAACGCTTAGAAAACGTTCTTTGCTCTTGCATAAAATGTGTACACAGTATCGATGAGAGGGGAACTTCAAAGTTTTTGTGGATTGCTGCTGGCATGGACTTTTGTTGTTTGAAAATAAAATACCTTTCACTCTATTGTTCTGGTAGCAGTTTTAGAAGTTAATCATCAATTCCTGGTGTTTCACCCTGTTGTATTCTGGAGGCTATTCTAATGGCTTCTTCCAGAGACTGTTGTTCTCCAAGCTGAAACAAATGCATTTAAACATAAATCAATCTAAAATTTCACACAGATTAATTTTTCTTTACAGATTTGTAAGATGAAACCAAAGGCAAAGATCCCGATGGGTAGCGAGCACAAGTAAGTGTGATCAGCACTGTTCATCACCTGGGTCATCTACAATAACAGCATGGAAACCAGGAGGTAGCAGGTAGCTCTGATAGCAGATTTAACTGAGATTCTTTGTATTTACCAAATTTAGTTTCTTCAAAGAATTGCTGCATGATAAATACATTTCATTACATGTAATAATTCAGACAATTTAGACAGATAATAATTTCACTTGACAGACATAACAAAGCTAAAATAAGGCTTCTGAAATTACAGTAGCCGCTAAATTACATTTTAGATGTGGCAAACCAAACAAACTTCCAGTTTTCTTAATTCTTCTGAGAAAATAAGCTCTATGGAACAACAGCATATAATATATACAATGTAAACCTATTGCAGAATTCTGATTATAGAAAGAAATGGTCTCCATGACACTGTTCAGCTCTACAGTAGAGAGGAAATTATTATCTTGTAGATGCAACTAAAAAGAGAGATCTCCAATTACTGCTTTTTCTACATGACTGTTCACACTTTTTTGCTATCAGCATTTCAGGGTTCAAATAACAACTTTAGTCATTTTATCTGTATGGGCGTGCTCATAGCAATTCAACTTTGATAATGTAGCATTCCTGATCACCTTGACATGGAATGCTGAAGGATGAAGGAACACACTCTTCCACAAAAGACCTGCTGACTCCCAAACAGAACATGCATCATTCTTCAGTGGAAGATTCATCTGTCCTTAACTTCAGCTCTCCCCAACCTTTCATTTATTTATTTTTAAGTACTACAAGTAGATTTGGAAAACCAGGTGCTTATTATTCTTCTTTAAAATACAAAACTATATGGTTACTGGCTATTTTTTTTCAGGGGAGCCAAGCTTATTAGACTGATTTTGTTATACTACTAGGAACTTCTAACTCTAGAAGCAAGAAACACTCCAAAAACCATTTTTCACTTTACCTGTACTGCAATTTGTGTTCCGTTGGATGTAGCCAACAATGTAACGGGCCGAGCTTCTGTGGTCACTAAATGGTGCCCGTGTTGTTGATGTCCAATTTCTGATGAGGTGCTATGAAATGCTGCTAAGTCTTGAGCCACGATGGCAACCTTGAGGACCAAAGAATGAGAATCAACTGGATGGTTCCAGATTACTGCTATTCACCTCATACAACTGTAATCTTCAAACTTAAAGTTACATTCAAAACTATGGTTTTTCATGACACAGTTTTATCCTGCAGAGCAGATCATCTTTTAAGAAAGGTTACATCACTGTTTGTCAGCGTCATCTGTTAGCCCTCAAAACGTAAGTATCTTCAGTACAGCACAGAAGTTCAGTAGCTGTATCTGCAAGCCCATGATTATCTACACATACAGGGCATGCACACACTCATACAGAGAAGTAAATATATTCATTTTCACATGGCACATTTTTAGAACAGTGGGATGTATTTTCACTTAAATATTAAAAGCTGTATCACTCTATTTGTACTAAAAAAGTTAACTACTGTATATTAATAGCAAAACTGCAAACATATACTTACTTCCTCTCTGCAAAACAGATAACAATCCTATAATATTAAGCAATAAATTCACACTGGATCCTATGTTTAGCTTTACCACTTATTTACTGTGTGACTCTGGGAGAAATGCTTAGCATTTCTGTCTTGTTTTATGCAGACCTACGAGAATTATCAAATTGGTACCTCAATTTTTTTTTTTATTCTATTTGTTTTTGTTTTTATTGTTTCTAAAACAACCTGTTGCTGATACTAACGGGATAGAACATACTGTAGTCTTCTGATGGGAATGACACAGCCTGGTGTTGAATACTGTGATGACTTTTGTGCCTATACCATCTCAAAAAGAACATTACCTATGTACACAGGGTAATTTTTTACCTGCTGTCCTTCGGTGCCTTCTGCAGTAACCATTGCTACAGAATGTGTTCCTGCAGAAGAGATGACGGCGTCGTGGGCAGGGACTGTGATAGTGGTGCCATCTTGTGTTACCATAGTGATTGTATTTCCAATGGCCTGCATATCTGCCTGAGATATGTTGACCTGAAACATAACACAGTTCCTGAAGTAAAGAAGGTTTAATTGCTGCTCAAGTCATACCTGAGGCTTAGCTTTCAGCAACATAATGCTGTTTTCAGGTAAATGTTTTTAACTGAGGTTTGAAAAAAAAATCAGAGTTTGCATTTGCACTGTAGCAGCATTCATCAAACACATTCCTGCTAGTTGATTCAGCAGCAGATGGTGCAACTTCACCTTCCTCATGTGAAACAAACTGCCTGACAATCCAGAATTAAAAGGCAACTTATCCACAACAGCGCTGAAAGAAATACTGTAAGTCCCATTTACAGTAACATCCTGTCCACAAGTTATAGCAGCTATTATTCCACTTCCTTGATGTACTCATGCATTTCCTGAGGATCACTGTCACTCTCTGGCCAATTCCCAGTCTTGGATGAAAAGCCTTCATCACAAACATGGATGGAGATCTAACATCCCACCATCTTTCAGACACTTGTATCTCTTTACAGAAATATAATTATGGCCCAGCAATGAGAAAGAGTTGTGTGCTTCCCATCAGAGTCTAGAACTCCATGTCAGTTAATCATACCCCAAAGAACTGCATGCAAGGTTATCTATGCATGCGTCTTACACAACAGGACAGTGAGACTCAAGTTGCATCACATGCTTTTATCTTAATGGAGACACTAAAGAGGTTTGGTAATTAAAACCACCAATTAAAAAAATCATTTAAAAATTGATATAAATTACTGATGTCTCCAATATAAATGTATTAGGGCATCAGTTACTGATCTGATGATCTGCATGATTTAGAAGGCAATAAAACATTCCAGAACTGAAACCAAGCTGAAGGATTAATAGATATGAGAAGAACTCCATGTTATGGCTTCTAAAGGCCTTCATTTCTAGGGGTAAAAATGCTGGTTCCTTAGTACTGCTGCAGTGGTCAGGGCTTGCAATGTGACAGCCCCCTTTAATATTTCATCTCCAATTACAATTTAGAAGATATTTTTCATATCCTACTGGCGCAGCAGCTACCTCCTCACTTGAAATATGATTTTTTTCCCATTATGCATTCAGTGTACCAGCAGAGTTAAACTAAAGAACTGTGCTGAAATCCACTCTCAGTGGGTTTCCTACCCATTCCTCAAAAAAAAAGCTATCCAAAGGAACTCTTGAGTAGAGGCAGTATTATCCTATTTCCTCATCTTCTCATGTTCTTGTTAGAAATTGTAAGAATTGAATATACCAGATGTAAAACATGCACTGGAACTAAGTAGATTATTTTTTCTAACAAGTGTCTGCAAACGAGGCAGCAGTGGTATCAGTGATATTATTCTACTAACATCAGATACTAACAGAATAACCGGGAAACTCTGGAAAACCTCAGCAACTATGTTGCACATATAACAGTTGTTATACAGCCTGTGCCTATATTGTGAGCATAAAGGACTTCCAGAGTTTTTAAGTGATAAAGACAACAGAATAGACCAAAAAGCCTAAGATCGTATTAATATAGTTTCAGGTAAGAGAATTTATGGTGGAATTTAGGTGTTCCAGAGGAGATCCAATCCTAAGCATATAGCATAATTTTCAAATAAGTTTCTCCCCATGAGAAATCAACACACATTTATCAGACCCACGAGCAGAAACTCTCAACATATTTTTGTCACCTCTTCAGCAAAAAATTACTTACGTGTTGGGTTCCATCCTGGGAAATTAGCGCTACTTGTTGACCTAACCCTGACTGAGTAACTGTAGCAACTTGTGCAGAAATGACGTCCTCTCCCTCTACACCTGTCACATAGGCTATTTGCGAGCCTTTCAGGACATCTTCCCCTTGACCTATTTGATACAAAGAAGGCAAGAGAGTAGTTTAGTCTGGATACTCCAAATGCAGGCAGGAAAGATAACCAACAAGGAATAAATGCCAGCCTGGTTTGATGGTTTTGAAACGCTTCAGTGGAAAAGGGATAGTTGAAAGATGAGAAGAGACATACAAATGCTACTCAACAAAAATATATTACTACTGTATACTCCAACATTAAAAAGGCAACAAACTATTTCTAATTCAATCATTAAATGTTAACTTCTCCAAGCAGGAGCCTTCATGAGAACACAAATGGCAGTTTCTAAAAGTTATTCATTAACAAACAGGCAGAGGAATACAGTGATGCCTTTGTGTGAAGATTTCAGTTAATTATCTTAATAAATGTTTAACTTCAGTAAAAGAATCCTATAATTCCCTCAAAAGATGGCATGAGACTATAGCAAATTTGCTTGAGGCGTTCAGTGCTGTTTCCCAAATACACGTAGTAAAACAGAACCCTTTGCATCTGCATTTTCTATCTTCAGACAAATCACAGTTTGGCAAGAGATAACTGTTCTCTCATGGCATTTCTTCTAACCTCATTTTTATAGTCACAAGATACTACTCATGACATGACAAACATTCTTAGCTTATTTTCGTCTTTGCCTCTAGGACCTAAATTCACAGACACTGCTATTAACTCTGCTGTTAACTGTCACAAAACCACCACAGTATCCCGGTGCTGCACAAACGGATTTTTCCTTTTCACAAAGCAGTGCCTTTATTCCTGATAAAAGACCTCCAGCAACTGTGGTGCCTCAGAAAAATCCAGTAGGTTGCAGACAAGCACTTTAGACTCTTGCAGGTCCCTTCACACAGTTCACGTTTATAGCAGAATTGTTTATAGCAGGTTTGCTGGGACTGCAGCTCAGATTTCTCAAATCTCTCTTATCTCCAGCCTGCTATAAACTCAGTTTATGATCTGGTCAATTACTCTCTCGGTTTCTGTTTACAAGTTGACCAGCACACTAAAAAGTCCTACAAAGAAGTTTTAAATAACTTTTATTAAGTACTTCAGATTTTTATCTATACTTTAATTTCCTTGGTTATAAACAGCATAATATTATCCAGCCCATTTGTTACAAGAGATTCAAAGATTGAAACTCTAACCTGGAGGTGGCTCAAAAAAAGCCTCTTGTTCCTCTTCAATGGGCTCTGTGTCATTATGTGCTGTCCGCTTGTGCATAGCAAGTGTAGAAATCTGCTTGTATGTCTTTCCACAGTGATTACAATTGTATGGTTTGGAATGAGTATGTACAACATGATGTTTGTATAAACTGGAATACTCTGTAAAACGTTTATCACAACCAGGAACTGTACAGACATAGGGCTTCTCCCCTGTATGGCAAACAGAAGGAGAGAATGTTATTCAGAATGCACAAACAAAACTGTCAATGAATCTGTAAGGTATTTAGCGACACACTTCCACTACCAAGCCAATTTCAATTTCAAAGGCAACAGTGAAGCTCTAGCTCACTAAGTTTATCAATGCAGCTTCTCATTGGTCTTTTCTTTTTTTAATCTGCCAGTGAAAGCTGGGCCCTTTTTTCTCCCATTCCATATAAAATGTTCTCCTTATGAGTACAGGATGATGCAGTCTAAAAGCTGCAATTTATAGAATCTTTAGAAACTGATACTGAGGATGAAGGCAAATGCAAACTGCATCACTGAGTGACACAGAACTTGGAGCTTCTGCAAAGGTGTCAACCTAAACACCAGTTTTGCACAGCACTGACAGTTTTGTTCCTTTAAAAAATCCTAAAAAAAAAATCAATGAAACAAATGTCTACATTACATTACAAACTATAAAGCTAATCTGATACAAAAGTTCTGCATGAAACTTATCCGTGCATCTATAAACATGCAAGGCTTCTAAGATGATACGGCTATCGCCAGCTCTTACATTTCAGAATCTTGAAAATACAATCCAAGTGAATGGGAGACTCACAAAGGTGAGCCAAACTATGCTCATCTTCCCTCACGTGAGGCCAAAACAAAGGCACCAGGTCCAGTCACCTAAACATGACTACATCCAACTACAGCGCACCAAAACAGTGTTCAAAAAAGAAGACTCTCACAAGCAGGATCCATTTGAAAACATAAAACACCATCCACATACCTGTGTGTATTCTCACATGATTCTTATAATTGGTTGCACTGGCAAAAGCTCTCCCACATCCTGGCTCTGTGCAGTAATAAGGTCTTTCACCTGTATGTGTCCTGATGTGAACCTTTCTAATATTAGATGTTGTGAACGACCTGCCACAGCCTTCAAAAGGACACTTAAAGGGCCTTTCGCCTGAAAAAAAAAGAAGTACACACAGGAAAGTTATGAAAGAGTACAAAAATTGTAAGTTACACTTATGCTGAATGCTGGAATCCAAAGCTACCTAATTGAGAGCCTCATTCAGAGATGCCATGAACACGTGACACGGAGTGTTGTACCTATATCTGGCAAAAACTGGGAAAACTGTGTGAGCTGTGAGATAAATTATGAAGCACTTAGTATCTCATGATATTTAAAACAGACTCAGTTGCTTGAACTAGCTTCCATATTACCTATATTCTTGCATGTGTTTAACCCCTCCAGACAAAATGCTACATGTGTTATCCAAAGCAAGTGCATTAAACCATTTGTATGTTTGTAATTAATAAAATGAAAAAAATTACTTCATGATTTAAGACATAACCAAGATACAGGCAAATTAGTCAAATTCACTACAGAAAGCACTTTACTTTTGGCTGAAACAAATTTTTAAAGGGACACAGCCTTGAAATTCAAGTTTCTAAAGTTGCCAAAGTCAAAGCAATCACAGATTTTTTTGTTACTAAGTCCATTCCTATACTAAATTTACACACAATAACTCACATCGCTCCTCCAACACCTTCACCTGAAGATCAGATAAAGCCAGCCCGTCTAACCTCGCTGATCCTTCAGACCTATCAGAGCACACAGCTCCAGGGAGGAGAGCAAAGGGACTGAATTTGGAGAGGCACGAGCCATCCAACATGCTGTCCTGTTGGAATCTGACACTTGGTAGGGCTCAGTACATTGCCCCCACCGTACTGGTCAACAAAGAGAGGAGTCCGAGAGTAAGAGAGGGCAGATTACCACTACAGACACAATTCTATGTACTTGGAAACAGAAATGAAAAATGAAGACCTGATACAGACATGTAACTCCAAAGCAGTTAGCTTCTTGGCAGAGGAAACTATAATTCACTCCTTAAGGCCGCCGTTTTGGGAACGTTTTCCACTTTTCTGCCAAGGCAGAGCGTATGTGAGCGTACACGCCTCAGTGTTGTGTTACCATGGCTCCCCTGATCCCCGTGGCGAGGCAGAGCCTCCAATTACAGCCTCAAGAAGGGCTGCAGTCAGAAACCACAACACTGATTGTTTTTCAGCGATTGCAGGAATGTCACCGGACCGGTTTGCCTTTGTGTTTCTAATGGAGTTGCTAGAAAAGTGACCTGTTTCCAGGTGACCGAGATTTTCTTGCACCAGCAACACGAGAAGACTTGCCTCCATCGGTGCACTGTTGAAACTCGCATAGGGTATCTATGAGCACACACGACTCCATCTGTTTCCACAAGGACTTGAGTTTTAATTTTCACACGTTTGGAACCTTCATTTAGTTTGATACGATATGAAGGGCAACAACCTGAGAACTATCAGCCTTCATGAACCTGGCGTCCAATTTATCTTAAAGCACCAAACCACTTCTAAAAGGTGAGCTGCGTTACTGAGAACAGACCCCTTGGTACTGAGCTGCAAACCAAACTGCAAAGGTGCTCAGTGACAACGTCAGTGACACACTGCTAAACGTCTGCAATGGCAGCATGGGTGCTTGAACACTTTTCTAAGCAACGTGAATCAGAGAAATCCACCAAAGTGAATTAACTTGGGGAAACAAAAATGGTAGTCATTCTACCTGTGTGGGTTCGGATGTGTTTCTGTAGGTCTCCTGAAGTCTTGAATGACTTGGTGCAGTTTTCTTCTGTGCACCGATACGGCTTTTCACCAGTGTGTGTTCGGATATGACTTTTTAATCCATACCCTGGAGGTCAGAAAGGATGTTATAACACCCAAGTAAGTAAATAAAGTACAAAATGAAGATGGTCAGAAGCTGTTACTCTTTGCAAGCGCCTCATTCTACCTTACAGAGCAATGAAACCCTGATACAGTTGATGAATTCCTCCTTCCCTCCTTTATAAGGAAAGTACACTTCCCACTCCTTTCAATGGGATAAACTGCAATTATTATAATGCAGGTAAATATTTATTTTATCTTCTGAGGAAATTGGCATGTTCTCTATCCCATCTACTTTTTTGCATCTTACCAATGTTGTCATCAAAATAGTATTTAATCATTAGAATATTATTAGAAACATGAATTTTCCTTCCATTCACTAGAGATGTATACATTTCTAAAAAATAAAGGAACAGTCTGTAAGAAGATGGCGCCTACTTAATTTCAGAATGTTTTCTAAGTAAACTTAAAACTCCTACAACTCTACACTCAACTCCTACAACTTCTATTTTTGACTTGTTATGAACACAATGGTGGCTACAAAGAGGAGCATCAATTCGCTCTTATATCTAAAATAAACATCACGTCATGATCCAACACAGCAGAGAATTCTTAATATTTAAGCTGAGAACTTCTGGTGCCTGACACAAGCCATATCAAAGGCTGAGGTAAGGTGGTACAAATATCTCTGGCCCAAAATACAGCATTAGACAGAAAGCTGTTTAGAGCTGCACATCAGTCTGTTGCAATAGAGAACAGTGTTTTCATTATGTTGTTTTGAAATCTCTTTGCACACTATAAAATTAAACTTATGTGCAACTCTTTAAGTGGGACTGTTTGTCTTTTGACCTTTCTCATCAGCATTTCTTGTGCTTATTTAAAGAAACACTATTCAATGTTACATCAGATGGAGTTCCAAAAAATCTCAGTTTTTACAGAAAATCTAGAGTCTAACTTTTCTAAGTATCAAGTCAATCTACATTCAAAGTAAAAGAATTTGAAACAAGTTTTGCTTTTTTTGTATCATCTTCAATGGTTCATCACTTGTAATTGCATCTTAAGTCATCAAATCTCAGGTAGTTTATCATTTACAAATGGATTAGTCAGTACAAAATACAGTGTTCGCTTTATGAGAAACATCACCCTGATACAATGTGATAAAAAACACTGCAAGCAGCTCCCACCAAAGTTCTTTGCAACTTTGGATCAGAACATTATCTAGATCCCTCTAGACAGCAGGTTCAGCTTTTTCTGTCACCTCGTGTAACTTACACTGTTAGTTTCATATTAAGAAGGCCTATTTTTTCCAAGATAAAATCTGGCTGTAGCATGACAGGTGAAGACCAAATGAAAGTGCCAAGGGTTTCACCTCACTACCCCTTCAGTAACTAATAGTCAAATCCTCTGTCTTTTCTATATGCTGCACTAGCTAAAACAACACTTTTTTCTGCAGTTCTCATAAATGGATTCCCAACCAGGTTCTATACTTAGCAACTAAGGAAAAGAAACATTGGTACCATAAACTTATACAGACAAACACAAAAAAGCAGGGAGAGGAAAGGGTCACCTGTTGCAAAAGCTTTACCACATCCAGGATGTTCACACTGATATGGTCTGTCTCCTGTGTGTGACCTTTCGTGTACCTGCCAAGACATCCGATACACTCATTTAAAAAGATGCATCTGATTACTTCAGCACAGAAAAACCTTATTCTAAAAGACAACACATTTTACTTCTCTTCCTGAGATTCACATTTAAATGTCTTCTTTTTAAGTCAGTGATAAAAACTAACATAGGGTAGCACTGTTTTCCTTAAAACTACAGGTGTCTTCTTCTAAGGTCTAGCCTAATCCTTTCAAGTCAGTTCTACAAAAGACATTTCTGTAAATATATGTGGAATTGCCAACACACAGGTAAATTAAAGAAAGCACACAGGCATGCCTCAGAGCCTTCTCTCTGATTATTGACTACACTGAGACTTCTGCAGGTCCTCTTATATTGCATGAAACCTCACTGATTCCACAGTGTTTTGTCACAGACAAGGCTGCACTGAAAGGAGCTTAGCTCATCTCCAGGTGATCACCTGTATTCCACATCTAAACTGGAATACAGCTCTACAGTACTTTATTTACTAAATGAAAATAAAAAAATTAAAAAAACAAGCAAGAGGGAACCAAGAAGTTGCTATGTGCTAAGAAAAGATGTTCCATCTCTTCACTTTGCATGTTCAACTGTTTTGAAGATTTAGACTTATGATGATAAAATCTTTCACAACTCAGAATTCTCACATAATCATGCATTCACATAGATTAGTGAACTCTGGATTTCAGAATTTCTGTGATACTACTGATAGAAATATTATCTCAACAAGATTTCTTACATGCTGGAAATATATGGGTCAACCATGACACCGTGTTTGCATCTACACCAATCTGACCACGACGTAAGCATCATTTGGAGTCAACGTTTTAGTGCACGTTTTATGTAACATTAACAGACTGAGAGTATATTTTATTAGTCAGTAACTGCAGTCTATTAGACTATTAGACTGCAGTTTTTGCTTTCAAATATGTCAGAACACTAAGAAAAATCAGCTGAACATCTGGCACAACTGATTATTTTAGACCAATCAAATAAACAATTGACAAAACAGCACATTGCAGTTGTTTCTCTGTTAATTTCCATCACTTGAAAGTGCACAATTTGTCCAAAAAAAAAAAAAAAAAAAATCATGCCTGCAAACTAACAACGCTTGTTTTACATTTCATCACCTTAAGATGGTGAGCTGTTGTGTACAGCTTTCCACAGCCATCATAATCACAGCGAAATGCTTTCTCTCCACTCTGCTGAGACTTTGCAGCCACTCTTGTTCCATGTCCCTGCAAGACAATCTGAAGTTGAAAAAAGAAAAAAAAAAGATTAAAAAAATACAGTGGATCAAGAAAGTCACACGCTAGTGTGCAAAGCTGACTCTGACAGGTTTCCTTTCATCTCTCTTTGCTACGCAATGTATTTCATAGCACTCAGTAAATGAAATTAAAAGCATGAGTTTTACTTAGAGCTAGAACATTTAAATGAATGCATTAATTAGTCAAATAACAAAGACTAAATAATCTGAAAAATAAGTGAAGCAGTAAGATGAGTGCTAGAAAGAATAGGCTTAGATTACACGTCTAAAGCACTGGCTCTGCTCCTAAGGGAGGTTAGCTATAAATCAGACCACCTTCAAAGATAAGTTCACACAGAGGCCAACCAATAATTAAATGCAGTTATATAATGAGCACTTTCTAAAAACGAAGGAAAACATTTTGTATTTTGTCAGTGATGCATGTATTTTGATCAAACTAATGGGTGCAACTGCAGCTAGGCTCATGACACAACAGGAAAATATACAGAATAATTTCATGATACAGCTTAGATCCCTATCAAAGGCTTTTTTGTACACTAATAATCAAGGAACGTTCTTACAGACTGAAAAAAGAGGCAGAAGACCAAAGGTAAACATGTTGATACAACTGTATAGAAAGTAACTGAGACTTTTACAAGTCTACCTTTCTTTCAAACTACTTCCTTTTTCTCCATAATCTAATTCCATTCTACGTTGTCAAAGAACAAGCCACGGCATCAGTGAGATGGGACAGCCTAATACAACCTCTCTTCTCAAAGCAGAATCAGCTCATGGCAATATCCAGCTGAGCTCTGAGTATCTCTAGGGATGGAGTCACCACAACCTGCACAACCTATGCCAGCATCCAGTCATCCTCAGAGGTTTTTTTTCCCCTCAAGTTTAAATGAAACTTCCTGTATTTCAGTTTATGCAGATTTCCTCTTATCCTGCCACTGTGCACACTATGAGCCAGGCTCTGTCATCTTTATATGCCCATATCAGGTATTTATACTTATTGGTAGAATTTCCCCTGGCCTTCTCTGCTGGAAGCTGAATAGCTGCAGCTCTCTCAGCCTCTCCTTGTCTGTCAGACTCCAAGCCTTTAATCATCTTCACAGTCCTTCACTAGACTTACTCCAGTATGTCTACGCCTTCCTGAGAGCTGAGAACTGGACCAAGCATTCCCAACGCGTATCACCAGCACTGCGTCTAAGGCAAAGATCACCTCCCTTGATCTGCTGACGTGTGGCCTTTTTTACCACAGGCACATTGCTGGTTCACAGTCAGCTTTGTTCACCAGGATCCCCAGGTCCTTTTCCGCAGAACTGATTTCCAGCCAGTTGCTCTCCAGTTTCTACCAGTGCACTGGTTATACTTCCCAGGTTCATGACCTTCCACTTCTTTTTATTAAACTTTCTGAGATTCCTGCTGGCTCATCTGAGTAATAAACAATATCAGCTGTTCTAACAACTACAAAGGTTGTTATTTTGTCATAAAAGGTGGTGGGGTTGGTCAGGCATTATTTCTCCTTTCTACATCCACACTGACTATTCCCAACTGCTAACATGTCTGAAAATGGCTTGTAAGATCATCTGTTCACCTAATTGCTAAGGACTCAGGTGAGGCCGACAGATCTGTACATCTCCAGATCCTCCTTCTCACACTTCTTGAAACAGGAATGACATTTGCTTTCTTCCAGTCCTCAAAAACTTCCCCTGAACACTGTGGCCCTTCAAAGAAAATCGAGAGTGGCTTTGCGATGACATTACCAACCTCTATCAGCACTTACACGCTTACATCCATTAGGTCCAGCAGATGTGTGCATATGCCCCATTTATTCAAATATTCCCTAATTCAATCTTTCTTTCAGTGAACTGGTGTCCTCCAATTAAGTAGACGAAAACTCAGACACTCTTTATTTTGCAGGTAACCACCAATGCATCCTAACTTAGCTCAGACAGGTTACACAGAAGAACAACAAAGGTAACTAAGATCTCAGGTAAGATTTTTATATCACATACACAGCAGTCATATGATTCTGATTTTCATTTGAACAGATGGGTATGACAGATGTGAAAAAAAATAAAGCACAACATCCTTTAGGTCACACAAAGGCTTTTGTTCTCATCTGTACAAATCACAAACAGGCTTTTATGCTTTATTTTTTTCTTTGGTGAAAACCTTAACCATACACAAATGGTCTGGATGACTGCTCAGCAGCATAACATCTGTTCAGTTCTTGAGTTACTTTGATCTTTTTAGGAAGAATTTATAAATACACACTTATTTAATGAAATAGTTTCAAATTTAGATAAAGTATCTTAAGTAATACATTATTTTTAAAAGGGTTACAAGTAGGTACTTAATCACACCAAGAAATAATCACTGAAAACACTTTAAGAAACAACCAATAGCTCTGTGACCCTCACTTCCATGCTCGGCCAAATGAAGTCACCTTACTGGGGAGGTGTCAGAATTTGAGCCTTACTACCTGTTGAAACATCAGATCTTTTTTGGCCATTTGTTTGGAACACATAATGCTCCATAAGATCAGCACACTTCCATACAGCCATATGTGTTGCCATATGAAGTGCAAGATAAAGAACCTTCAGATTCACTTTTTTTTGGGCTTGAGGCCGAAATCAACGTGTAACTGGATATTGGTAACAGCTTGTTTTGCTTAATAGATTTTTACTTCTAGTTAAAGTCAAACAAAATCTGATTCTATTCTTCCTTGAATTTTGCATTTTGATAGAGTTGTATTCCTGTTCCATCCTAGAACAGTACAAAACTCCAGAAGTTCTTTATTTATATTTATGGAATGCATTTTCATAGAATCATAGAATCACTAAGGTTGGAAAAGACCTAAAAGATCACCCAGTCCAACCGTTCACCTATTCCCAATAGCTCCCACTAAACCATGTCCCTCAACACAACATCCAGCCTTTCCTTGAACACCCCCAGGGTCGGTGATTCCACCACCTCCCTGGGCAGTCCATTCCAGTCCATTCCAGTCCATTCCATTTAATACTACTGATAACTTCTAAATTAGCTCTTCTGTCCTTTCACAATCATGCCATTCAGACAGCTGTAGACTGTCACTGGTTTTAAATATTGTGGGACCTAAAAAAAATTAAGATGACAGGATTTTGAGGTCATTGTCAGAGGTGAGCCTGTAGTTCCCTCTTTCACAGGTAATGTAACATATTTTACCTCAGAAGATATTTTTCCATCCTCATCTACTTCATCACCTCTGAAATTAAACAAAAAGGAAGAACACTGATTCTTTGATGACCAAATCTTTCTCAGTGCAATGACTTGCCCATTTCTGAACCTGTCATGTGAGCACGTGAGGGCATAAGGTTTTATTATTAGCTTTTGCTCTTGTTCCTAATTAGGATTTTACAGATTTCTGGTTAAAGTAAAAAAGGATTGAGACTTCACAATTTTTACCTGTACTTTCCATTACTCTTAGAACTTTTGAGTAAATACCTTCACCTCAGTAAGTTTTTATACTTCTATGTAGTAACAAGAAAAAGAACTGGAAATATTTGTCTGCTTCTTCAGGGTTCACTTGAAGCAGCGTCTTCTACAGACTAGTTGGTTAGACAGTCAGACTACGCACAGAGAAGACTGAACAAACATGCACACATTTATTTTGCATTGTGCTACATACCTGCATTTTTTTTTCTTGTTCATTTTCGCCTATCATTCCCGTGCTACTAACACTGTCATTTCCATCAATAGACACCTGAAAAATGAGGTTGATATGGGAAAAACAGAAGTTATTTTTATTCATCGGAAAGGCAGATTTACAGACAGTTCCTGGGGGCTTATTCTTTCTTAGCTCTCTAGCTCCCTCTTGAAAGCTGGTTATCCTACAAGATAGTAGTTTACATGAAAATCCCTCTTGCAGCACCTGCATTATACAACAGGTAAGGCAAGCATCTCAAGACTGTCTTAAAATGACATCCAAAAGACTGCAAGAACTGAACGTGCTAGATGAAAACTCAAAGGAAAGTATATTAAATTATTAAAAATTGATAACACTGAGTTCTCAGAGAAAAAAAAACTCAGCTCCTTTAGAATCAAAGTACCTAGACAATGTGCCACTTCTTAATTCAAAATAGTAAAATTTCAAAAGGTAAGAGAGGACTTGTGTATCTTGTGTACTGCTCTTAAGGTTCATTTTTAAATACCATTTATAGGAAGAGAAATCTCTGCTTTTCAAGGGACATAGAATATTTGAAATGATTACTTAATATGCTCTCAAATGCATTAACTCAGAACAGTGGTCATTGTAGTAAAAGACACTAATTTGAAATATACTTTGTAAGTTTTCCTCTTCAGTAGTTGCCTCTGTGTTGAGCACTCACATTCACAATACCCTCTTACATTCAAGGCTGAGATTGGTGCCCCTAAATCCAGCCACAATTCCTATCTGCAATTCCACTACACGTCCCCTGACTTTATGCAGACTGAGAGCAATAATCTATTTTTTCCTGGTTGCTTTGAGAGGAAGGTGGCATTGACTAAGTCTAAAATTAAGAGGATTCCAATTAGCCTTTACATGCACTCTGCAAGACATGTTGACTATGCCTAAAAGAGAAGTAAGAGATGATGAAAAATGAATATCCTCCACCAAATCCAGTGAGCTGCTCTGCGGTCTTCTTTTAGTGATACATTTCCAGAAATATTCTCCCAGCCTCCAAGCAATTTGTGGCTTAGGAACTTCCTGAACTAGAAATCACATGTTCCTACCTAATAGCCCCAGATACATTTCTCTTCCATGAATTTTCTAATTACCCTTTGAATCTAGAGACATAATTAGTATGAGCAACATTCTACAAGCAGTACCATGGCTTAACTTTATGCTGTTTGAAAAATATCCTTCCCTTGTTGTCACTGAACCCGAGACCTGAGAGTTTTCTCTGATGCTTCCCAGCTCTTACACTGGTAAAGACAACGACAAGACACTACTCTGTGCCACTTAAAATCATGTGAAATTCTCTCATATCCTTACCTCATACATTTCATTTGTTTGGTCATCATTGCTGCCCCTTTCTGTACCTTTTTTAATGTCCTAAGCCATCTGCTAGTAAAAGTATACATTGTCTTATTATGAAGTCTACATGGACATGGAGCAGAATCCTAAAACTGCATTTCTCCTTTTAAGAGAAAAACAGGGGTGTAACATGCAGCTATTACTTGCTTTTGCACATAATGCAGTTTCAGTACTTGGAAATTCACTTTTCCTGATTTTCCTTGAAAATTCTAGCAGTACATCTCAGGATAAGGCTGAGATGAAAGCTTTAAGAAAACAAGCAGGGTTTTTCCTAGCTATACACAAGTATACTTCAGAATACTAATTCACATTACAGAACTCGAAAACACATGTTGAGATGAATAGGAGAAAAAAAGCAAATACATTTGCTTCTTCTCCACAAAACAGAAAGGTACTTTTATAACAAATTAGCATTAACATAGCTCCTTATTAAAAAGGACAAAGTTCCAACTGATATAAACCTAGATGAAATAACAGCTAGGCAATGCATAAAAGCTTGTTGCTACAGCACAGCTAGCCTTGAATTACCTTTTTACATAATGAAAGTTTAAGGCACAGCTAAATGTAACACAGTCTGACGGGCTTTCTTATGTTTTCTTCAATTACAGCACACAAACATAATGGAAAGAATGGGGTATGTGCCATTTAATCACCCTAAGTGGCCTTCTCCCAAAATATGACTATTCCCTGTAACACCTGAGAACAAATTATAAAATTAATTCAACTCCTTTCCAAACCAATACAAGCACTGACAGCAGTCGTCTAGGAATCAGGACACTCGGAAACCATTAAGTTGTGAAAGTTGCACTGTTTGCTGTATATTTAGACCACACTTCACAGAGGTCCTTTGAAGTGGAGAACGTGAATTTTTAGCCTCACATTACATTTTTGTCATTAAAAGCATGGATCAGAGAAGCTTTCTCCAAATTCATCAGCTGCCTAATTGTGTTTTTTTACACTTTATTATCATGTAATATCCTTATTGAAGATAACAGGCCGTACTCTTTTCAATGCAAGAAAAAAAAATCAGCAGTGGTCTCTTGTTGAGAATAATTTAACTTTGTCCTTCTTTCCAAACTACTTCTGAAGAGGCTCCACTCTAATCTTTTGTGTTTTACAGAAAATAGTTATTTACTTGTCCAAATCACTATGCACATCAGCTTGATTCCACATCATTTTGGTGTTCCATTTCTTGTTGTCTTTATGCAAGAGCACACACTGGAGCCACCCATAACAGTGAGGCACTGTTGTGGCAATCTGGTGTTCTCTCTTAAAAGAGTCTGAAGACTCTCTTATCATTTTATTTCTTAGCTCACAGCGGGCTTTTGCTGTCAAGCATCATGTGATATGACATTAGAACATTACAGACAGATGAAATGTTGTTCAGCATACCTTAGCTGCGTACTGCTCCAAAGCAGTGATGGTATCTGGGTCAATGGCAGCATCTCCCGTGTGAAGACCAGCCACTGTGCCATCAGCTTGAATGGCTAAAATGGTATCTGACTGTGGCATCTGCACTGCATGGTGAATGTAGGCAGTAGTGCCATCCTCCAGCTGCACTGCTTGTAACGCACTCTGATCATAACTGTCTGAGAAATAATATTACGGCGTGTTACAAATGAAAAGGAATAGCAATGGCTGTAGGTAACACAAGAAACTGCTGCTGCTTAGGAAACGTCTCCAAAAGCCATACATGTGTCTGATGTTTATGAGAATTATACCCAATTACAATACCACTATGAATAGCAGATTAACTTTTTTTCAAGACAACGCCATCTACATCTTCTGCACACCTGCAGAAGTGCAAAACCAATTGTAGTCTATTCAATTGTGATCTAGCTTCACTAACAAGGGAAATCACTATCACAAATATTCTTCCAACTCATTATCCACTCATAATAAAATGAGAACATAGGAAACACATACATCTGATTTTAGAATGTATGGATCTGACCCTGATACCAGAATCACCCGTAAAAATAGATGCAAAATAAACTCTGGATGGTGTTGCTGGCAGTGGAATGTAATTTTTGTCACATTAGCTTATTAAAATATCTAATGGTTCACTTTTTCAAAAGAAATAGGATTGTTCATAAGATGGGAATAAACAGCTTCTGCAGCAATCTAGGTTATAATTTAAAATGAATGTTTGCATTTTTGAACATCAGTCATCACACTTTCAGCCCTACTACTTAAAGACAATATCCCCAAGAGATGATCTTTGAAATGTATGTCATGCCTCTACATTCTTTAGTTTAAGTGGGATTGATTGATTCATTCTTAACTGCTTTCTCTTCTTAATTCTACATACAAGTATGGCTGAAATCTGTATGATAGCTTGCTTGCTCTACTGACGTGGCATTTACTTACTTTATTGATATCCATGGCTTCAAAAATAAATACACAGCTGGTGATTTTTAAATTCTGTTTATAACTGCTCTATGATGTCCTAATAAAGAACTGAATCAGACTCATTTCAGTAATTTCTAGATGCCACTAAGCAGAATTAAGAAATAAACTACAATGGGAATCACGCTGAATTACGTAATTGTCTGAATACAGTATCGTGTTTTGTACTGCTGTTCTGTTCAACTGAAATACTAAACCATTATTCAAAAGCCATTTACCTTTGGAGGTGTGATGAATGAATGCTGTAGTTCCATCCTCCAGCTGAACTGCTTGTCCATCTTCCAAACGCAAGCTGTCCCCTGTTTAGAAGAAAGAATTACAATGCTTTGACAAGAGGTTGAAAAATGCATTAGTCAGAAAAATTTTCTCTTCAAGATTCTTTGCAAAACAATAAGAAATCAAGCTTTTTTTAAATGATTACTGATTAGTTAATATCAGTATCTATCAGTAATAAAATACTTCAAAATATATTTATATATATATATATATAATTACACTTACTACTTTTAGTCATGGGTACATGTTGAACATAGGCTGCAGAACCATCTTCTAATTGAATCACTTGGCCATCCATTAATTTACCATCTGAAATACACGGAGTACTTTTAGAGAATCTAACAGTGTGACACAACCTACTTTAAACACACAGCAGACACTTCCTGGATCAGACAGAGTATCAGTACAATATCACAGACTTACACTGCTTGCTAAAGCTGAAGCATAGTAAGGGGCTAAGAAACAGTGGTTTTAAAATTCTAGGATAAAAAAAATGGTAAGAGGCATGAGAGTTGAAATAAATACACTCAATACAGAACACTAAATCTTATTACCTATCCAGTAGGCAGAACGTTGGTATTTGGGTTTGAAGCATGAAGAGTATCTTGCTTCTGTGTCTGACTTATGTTCTGCATTTGATACCTGCATCTTATTAGTACTGGAAATAAATATTTATCTGGTATTATTACTGCAATACCCCAACTGGGAGTACAGCTTTGAAAACACTGAAGATTTTCCCCAGTTTTACTACCCAGAGGGGTTTACAACCCAGCATAGGAGAGGAATACAAATAAAGAGAGGAATACAATGTTGATACAAACCAACTTCCAGTCGTTTACCTACCTTTAGAATTGTGCTGTATGTATGCAGTGGAGCCATCAGCCAGGGTAACTGCTTGCAAACTTACACCTTCCATGTTTTCTAAGTTGTCACCATCTAGTAAAGCAAAAGGTTCATAGTCTCTATTACCAACATCAGACTTTAAAAATTACCAGTTATGCACCTCCAAAAATGATGACATCCCTTACAACCCAGTGATTTTAGAAATACTGGTAGGTTTTCTGGGTTTTCAACCTTGATGACATACTGTGGTCAGATGTTCAAGACCTCGCTCCATAAACAGGACAGCCTCAGTGCTGTTTGCTCTAACTAGAAAAGCTGTGTTATTGAATAAATGATTGCAAAGTTTAGGTTTTAGGGAAAATATTAATTAGGTAATGAGCTCCAACAGTGAAATAATGATATCTATTTGTATCAATAATTTTGTTTTGTACCCTATTACCTATATTAGTATATGCAAATCTATTTAGACTAAAATACTTAGGAAAAAGATTTTATCAGTGAAAATTGCACCAAAGCTGTCAGAAAATACCGTATTTAAACCAATTCAAAACACCAACCTATTTTAAAATTTAACTAGTTTAAAATGTGCTTTGGTGCATAATGAAGTTACAAAGTATAACACAGTAAAACCACTGTGAGAATTAAGTCAGATTTTCGAGTATCTATTTTGATACATTTATATTCCTATTATCTTAATTAACAGATCACTGTCTTAATTAAATCAGTGAACTTCATCTCAGCTAACTAAGAATAATCTGCTGATTTGCGTTAGATTTTTCATTTAGAATACACTGCTTGAGTTCTAGAGTTTTATCTGACCTTCTAACAGGAAAGACACAATAATACACATTTCAACTCAGTGCTCACCTTGCACGGCTACAGCTTCTGTCAGACACAGAGTCACATGCTGGGCCTCCATTCCTCCTCCAGAAAATTCAGTCATTCCCTGAGAGTCTCGGTTTATCTGAGCTAGTAACATTGTCTGCCTACAAAGAAAGCATTCAAGGACATCAGTACAAAATCTAAATACTGAACCAGAACTAGTTAAATACAATCCAAGATTAACTAGATTTCTATGCAACCGCTACAAACATTTTTTGTTACCTTCCACACACAGATGATGCAATGAATGAATGAGAGAACTGTAAAATAATTCAATGGAAAAAAAAAAAAAAAAAAAGAAGTTCTTTGAAATAGTTAAGAATTGTTATCTCAATTAATTAAGCTATTAGGAACTTCAGGCAGCAGTTAGTAAATTGAACTTGAACTAACATATGGTCTTTATTCCAGCTGGGACAGAATTGTGATCTTCAGAGTGTATGATGCTGCCACTTGGCTCTAGGAGAAAAGCAATGTTGAGAACACACCAAAGTTTATAGCTGCTGCTAAGCAGCATTGTACAGAGCTGAGACCACTCACAGAGGAGGGCACAGGGAGCTGGGAGGGAACAGAATCAGGGTGGCTGACCTAAACTGTCCAAAGGGATATTCCATACCATATGACATCAAACAGAAGGAGTTCTGAAGGGGATGGGAGTTCATGTCTCTCTCTTTTGCTGCTCGGGAGCTAGCTGGGCATTGATCAGCAGGTTGTGAGCAATTGCTTCTGCACCATGTGTTATATGCACTCATATTTATATATAGCCATAACAATTATCCTTGTCTTTACCTTAGTAACCAGTTTTATCTCAACCCATAACTTCTACCTTTTTTTTTTTTTTCCAACTCTCTCTCACACCCCATTGGGAAGGAGGGAATGAGCAAATGAATGTGTGGTGCTCAGCCACCAGCTGGGTTAAACCACAACTCATACAAAGAAAAGAATCACAGAATGGCCAGGTTTGGAAGGGACCTCAAGGATCATGAATCTCCAATCCCCTGCCACACGCAGGGCCACCAACCTTCCCATTTAATACTGGACCAGGCTGCCCAGGGCCCCATCCAACCTGGCCTTGAACACCTCCAGGGACAGGGCACCCACAGCCTCTCTGGGCAGCTGTTCCAGCACCTCACCACTCTCTCTGTAAAGAACTTGTCAATGAAAAATGAAAAATATTGTGTCAATGATGGTACAAATAATGATACCTTTTTGTCCCCAAAATTAAAATGAAGCTGACGATTCACTCATGGTTACCCATAACAACAGCAGGGCTTTCAGTCTATCAGCAACTCCAGTGCCAGCAAGAAGTTCAGGATCACACACTGGTGAAACACATACTTGATTAGCAAATCTGAATGGTCCAACAATTTCATTAAGCTTTCCACGAAGATTTATATCTAACTACCAATAAGGATACATATCTGAATTAATAAATGATCTCACAACAAAATGTGTTAATAACAAGATAGTGATTGCTAAGTGATGGGCACAACCCTGTAGATATCTCAGAGAACCAGCCATTCCTCTGGATACTAATTTTTCGCCCAGGCATTAAGAAAGTATTAAGGTATTAAGAAGTCTATTGAATCTGAAAGGATGCTACTAATTTTTAGTATTAGCGGATAAAGCAAATTCAAAACACTGCATCCTACTAACTTGGATCTTGGCTTTCACCTCAGAAAAAATGAGTCACATACAGAGAGGTGGATGACTGAAAAAGATCACATGAAATCGCAGTGTACGCTATACAGCATTAAAGCATTTTCTTTTTTTCACTAATGTATTTAGTGGAGCTCTTCTCACAGTAATTGGCAGTTAGATGATCTCAAAAAGAAGAGTATAGGTAAACAAGCAAGGCTCTTAATCTTATGGTTCTGTGACATGCTGTGTTGTAATTCAAGGTTGAGGAGAACAATCTAGGATTTCAAATTTACTTCTGATTCAATTTCTAAACAGTTATTTATTCTTCTACGCTATGAAAATCTGCCTTTGAATGAGCAAACTCATCAGTGGGCTCAAAAACCAAGGAGACACATTTACTAAGTTAAAACTAAGGAGCAGTGAAAGCAAAGTAGACCATTTAGGACTTATGCCTACAGGATGCCAGCAGTGTTTATAAGCTTTGGCACACTGATTCAGTAGTCAAAGAGTATATCCAAGTCACATTTTCCAAATAGATCCAAGTGACTCTGGAACAGTTTCTATTTCCCAGCATGACAGCACGAGCCGCTCTGCCATCTCCAATTTAGTGGCTTTAGACAAGCAGTTTTGCTCCCTGTTCCCCATTGATACCCCCTCTCCTAAAACAGGGAGAGAATCTCACCTAGAAAGCACTTTGCTCATAAACCACAAATGGGAGACCATGCAAGAGCTACAGGAAAAGCTTTAGCAAGCACGGAAGCAGCCCTTTCTTCAGTGTTCAAGGACCCTGTGGTGATTAAGAACAGAAAACCCACACAGTTAAAATAAAGAAACAAACTAGCCAAATAAATTTTAAAGTTTTATCCCAGACTAGTTTGCTGGGACTGCTTCTCTGGAGGTACTGCCAGCTTGTGGCAAGTCTAATTAAGTAATTATGGTATTAGATGCAAGTGGGGAACAAAGTTTATTTACCCTCTTAACTGCTAACACAGTGTTCTGTATTGACAGCGCTTCCCGTTCACTCAATTCTCAGGACACCTTGTGGAAGTAGGCTGCAAATCATCCGGATTGTTTCATACAACAGAGAAGAAAGGCTACAGAGCCTCTTTGTGATGGTGTTCTGAAATCATTCTAGCAGGGACTGGACTTTGAAGGCCTCTCATTTGGGTTTTTCTATTGAGAATTCCCCCTCCTAGCATAGCATCTTTTCCTTAGCATACAACCTGCCTTCAAAATAGAAACAGGATCTCCCTCCAGAATTCATGCTGCTCTCTTAAATCTTGGGAAGCACAGAGGAAGCAAAGCCACACAAGAGCCTTAGCAGAACACACTGCTTGAAAGCTCAATGGCTATTTGGTAAGAAAAAAAATAGATTTAATGCAGATAACCATGTTGCTGCTTTTCCTCAATTCTGACCCCTTTCAAAATGCCCCTTGCAATCGATCCTCCTCCCAACCCTCTGCTCTCCCACTAACTTACCTCAACTCCACCCCTTCTCCTCAAAGTACCAGTTTTCTTCTTCAGGTGGCCCTGTCACAACGCCAAATTTCCAGCACACTTTTCTTCATCCCACCCTTGTCACCAAAATAACCCAAAATCTGTGCAGGGAGGAATATACTCAACTAAAGGACACACTGCTCTCTCTAAAGGTCCCTTCTCACTCCCTAGCAGGGAAGACAAGCTAAGCGGACAGCACTAAGAGGCCTGAGGAAGAGCATGGGGAGGGAATAAAGGGAAATGAAAAGCTGGGTAGCACTGTAGAGAAATGGATTGGGATACCTCAGAGAATCTGTTGTATTGCTGACACAACATCACTACTTTCAGTTTCTTTGCTCAACTAGAATAGCCAACCACTGGGGCAGATTGACAAGAAAGGTTATGGACTGCTCCATCCATGCAGGTGCTGAAGATGATGCGACAGCCCTGGGCAACCTGCTTCAACAGACCCACCTGGAGCAGGGGCTGGATCAGGTAACTTCTGCATCTAGAGCACTTCCAAGAGACACTGCTCTGAGTCTCTGGTTATCCAATCATTTTGGTACTGCATACTTCTAGAACAACATCAGCACGCTGTTGGTACATCACTCACCATGGAAATCTCACTTCCTATCATGTTTTTATTCATTCATGGCTTTTTTGTTTCTTTGGAAGCCAGTGTGCTTTCATCAAACTGAAGTCTCTTCCCTTATTTCAGCTCCTTTATTCACTCTGTTCCCTCTCCTTTCTGCTAACTGGCTTATATGATGGTCTCTTCCCAGCTTCCAGCAAATGTCATTCACTGTCGGTTGACATCAACCGTTTATGATCTAACACACTAAGCTCTTAACACTCAGATACATGGAAGCAGGGGGGAGGATTTCTTATGAAGACCTCATGAAGGCCTCATGTTAGAGGGCTCCTATAACTAACACTGTGTTCCTTCCCCCACTAACATTCACATTACCAGATGTCTTCTTTTGGGTGCTGTCACCTGTTTTGCAGAAAAGATGACACGCTGAAAGAGAAGTTTTTATGTAAGCTCTATATGGCAGCTGAAAACAGGAGTCTGGGCTGAAAATCAGGAATGGAACAACTAGGAAACAGCAGGTGGGATGGAACTGAAAGAAAAGTGGGCACTGGCAGAGGGCATGGTGCCATGGGGCAGAAATTGGGTTTGGAGGAGTGGGAAGTCAGGCAGCCGAAGACAACACAAGGAGACCCTATGCTGCTGAGAACGTGGCAAATAACAGCTGGAAAACAAAAACTGGAATTTGGCATTGATAGAATTATTGTAAGATTGTACTGTTGGATAAAGAAAAAACTTGCAGTGACAGCAGCAGAAACTCCTGAGAGAGAAAAAGAAAAAAGGCTGATACTTAGGGCACCAGTAACATGAAAGGGAATAAAGTTTTTAACAGAAGCCAAGGAGGAAAAGTTAGGGTTACAAAATGCAAGGAGAGAGAAGACAGAGTGAGCGGGTGCCAGGTGAAAGAACCGTGAAAGACAGACAGGAAAAAGGCTGTTCCAGACATGAGGTAACCCTGTGATTGCTCACCCTTGCCACACAGACAGCACTGGGAAGTTTGAAATAACATCCATCTATTTAATTTAAAAATAAACGTCACTTTTATTTTTAATACACTTCCAATGATGTGCAAAAGCACTGTAATTTTGCAAGGCTTATAAAAACAGCAGACGATAGCCAACCTGGAAAAGAGATGTGGCCAGCAACACAGCCCTGTACCTGTTAATATCTCACTAAGGAATTTTAGGAAGCTGTGCTCCTGATTGATAAAACTGGATCCCAAGTTCAGTTCTGGCTGCAGTATATCATATCATAGAATGGCCTGGATTGAAGAGGACCACAATGATCATCTAGTTTCAACCCCCTGCTGTGTGCAGGGTTGCCAACCAGCAGACCAGGCTGCCCAGAGCCACATCCAGCTGGCCTTGAATGCCTCCAGGGATGGGGCATCCACAGCCTCCTTGGGCAACCTGTTCCAGTGTGTCACAACCCTCTGTGTGAAAAACTTCCTCCTCATATCTAACCTAAATCTCCCTTGTCTCAGTTTAAAACCATTTCCCCTTGTCCTATCACTATCCAATTAGAGCCCTTCAGAACTGATACAACTGTCAGTATCAGTACCATTTCCCCCAAGCAGTTTGATTAATAAGCAGTTTATGAAAAACCACAATTACTGCCTACGATTAGCATTCTGGTTTAGTGCACTTCAACTGATAATTAACAAGCACTGCAGCCTGACGGGTCTCAGGGCAAAAAGTGGTGGGTATGGATTGAAAAACAGAGCTGCCCAGAAACTTTGTTTGTTATGGGACTGAGGGTTAGATCAGCAGTTGCATGAAGGCATCAGACAGTGCTAGGGTCAGAAATACAGATGTGGCAAAACAAAGGCTCTCTCAAAGCTTCCTTCTGTTCCCAGCTGTACCTGAATGACAGTCCTTCCCAGCATTACTTTGGAAATCTGGAGGGTCAGAACTGACATCTAGATCCTGTCCACGCTTTGATCAAACATTGCAAGAGATAAGACATGGATTTCTTTCTCCTTCAACAGCCTTTGCCTCTTTTAGCATTGTATTGTTGCATTACAATATTGATTTCATACTACAATTGGTCAGCATGGATTGGAAAAAAATATATAAAAATTGGATTTTAATAACATATAAGAGAAGCTCCTCGATGTCAGGCATTTCCCACTTTCTCGGTGCTTTGTTTTATCATCTTCCTTCCTGTATTTTTTCCTGTTCTCGCAAAGGCACCCAGGACATAATTAAGCAGCCATTTCCACATTAAATCAATCACTCACTGTATAGGATGGACACAAGACAGAAACAAAGACCAAAACCTCTGCAGAAGACACTGCTAACAGCTGGATTCAGCCAGACCGGCCATTATAGAGGTGTAAGGCACACAGTTTAATAGCACACCACAGCAGTGTTTTCTCGATGGCAGGAAGCATTGCACACCCAGCTGAGAAGAAGCCAATCAATCTGGACAGCAGTGCCAAGCGCATGAGCACCACGTCTGTGCGCAGCATGGCAGCACCACTAAGCCACAAAGACACGTGTCGCCCTGAGCAGGGGCTCGCAGTCCCATCCAAGGCTCCGCTTTACTCTTTTTGCAGTACTTCAGCCCTCTCCATCTTCCAGACACGCGCTGTCTCAGCTATAAGTGCTTGCTTCCTCTGCTGCCTGAATGTATTAGAGAAGAAATGACCAGTTAGGCAGCGTGGGGTCAGTCTTTCCATCAAGTGGCAGCTGTGGGACAAACAGCTCCCCCGCAGACAGCAGTGCAATGCTCCCACCTCCCTGGAGTGGCAGCAAACCATGGCAGCTGTGCCATGGGTAACCCCCAGTGACCTGCACGGCTGCAGGCTCTGCTTCAGACCAGAGTCAGTACCAAAGCAGCAAATTAGATGTCACTGACAGCACCGCCACACTGGGCAAATAATAACGTGCATGTTCAGAAATTGAGTTAGGCCTGGAGTCAGAGGAAAGCTCGTTGGTCACCGTCCACTCAAATCCTCCAAACCTGCTGAGGCTACCAGCAAAATCAGGAATTTTGACAAAATATGTGGACATGAGTTAATCAGTAACAACCGCAGATGACAAATTAGCTGTGGTTTCCATCAATGTTTGTATGGCAAGAACTCCCTCCAATTCCTCACTCCAACCTCAGAAGAAAACCTATGAGCATCTCTGTTGACAAAAGCCTGCATTTTCAGTTCAGAAAGAGCAGAATTTTCAGTTCCAGAAGAAAATCCATCTGTTGGGATCATTATCCACTTTATGGAGCTGGGTGTTTCCTTCAGTCTTTCAGGAGCCCTTGTGGCACAGGGACAGGTTACCTGCATCACATTTCTCTATCAGGCTCACCTGTTTCCTTGTAGAACAGAAGAGAAAAACTGACCACCTGTTGGTGGGGAAAGAGCAGAAAGCATGCTTCTGCTTCTCTGCAGTGACATGACAATACAGGAAGAACAGTGGCAAGGAAAGGCAAACACAGGTTGGCTGGGATGATACGGTGCGTACATACATGTGTCAGAGGCAGCAGCTAAAAACAAGTGTGGGAAGCAGAAATCAGGGAGATGATCAAGGAAGAGGGCAAGAGTCAAAATGTTAAGAGCAAAAGAGTAACAAAATCATCAAACTAGAACACTAAAGGCCAGTTCTGCCTCTTAACTATTTGTAGTCTGTGCACTACACCTGACACTTAAAGAATTTCTCTGATTATCAGGAATGTGGCTTTTGATGTGTGTGAAAACTCACCCGCATTTAGCTGAGCCCTATCATTTGGCAAACAGTTTGACATGAGCCAACTTAAAAAATCCTCAGAA